CCTGGGTGAGGGGCTGATGGCTGTTTGCAGGCTGGCCAAGCCCTCCAGCAGGGACCCTCACCCCATGAGGGTGTGGCCATCCTGGGTGAGGGGCTGATGGCTGTTTGCAGGCTGGCACCAGCCCCCAGCCACCCAAGCTCCCAGTGGAGGCTGGCTGGAAGCAGGTATCTGGGATTTATTTAGCTTCTATAATTGAAACTTTGTTGTCTTTTGTGGAGGCCACAGCCGGCCAGGGCAGGCGGGAAGCTTGGCTTCCTCCATCTCCGGGGCAACCAAGCCTCCTGCTTGCTCCAGCTCCGTGGTTGCCGGCCACCATCTTGGTTGGGTTAATTTGCATATAGTCTCTCTGATTGGCTGGTGGGCATGGCTTGGGCATAGTGAAGGTATGGTCAATTAGCATCTTTGTCTTTTATTAGTGTAGATTATGCTTTGACTGAACAGCAACCCATAGACCAGACACTTAGCATATTAGGCTTTTATCATATAGGATTGATTTCAGAGAGGAAAGGGGAGATAGGAACATCAATGATGAGAGAGAATCATTGATCGGCTGCCTCCTGCACACCTCTCACTGGGATCGAACTGAGACCTCCTGGTTCATAGGCTGATGCTCAACCACTGAACCCACATTGGCTGGGCTAAGTGGATGAACTTTTGACGTGTTGGACCAGGGTCATTCCTTGTCCCTAAGGGGCACCTATGGTATGAATCCCAAATCCTGAACCAGCCTTCAGACCTCTGGAGACTACTCTCAAATTCATGGCCATGTGGTCCTTTTGCGGCTTCCTTAGAGGGTCCCACTAATTGTCTTCGCCACACCAAGGGGGTGGAGCATCCAACCCAACTCAGCACGTGGGCTTGTTCTTAGTTTCACCCTGTTTTGTCATGTGCAACCCCTTTTCATTAAAAACAAACAAACAAACAACAAACAGCACACACACCAGGGCACGGAACTCTTGGCATTCATGTCTTTATTATTTTGCTGATCAGCTGCCCGCCTCACTGCACGTCAGACATCGCCCCACCTGTGCCAGGAGTCGTGAATCCCACCCGCAACTCGGAGATCCGGGCCGTTTAGTTAACAAGCATGCAAAACCAAAGGAGCGAAATTAAAAATAAGTGTCCTCCTTCCGGGAAAGAAAAGTATTAATTAGGCTACAGTCAACCACCTTTAGGAAGAAAAAATTCAAATACCAGGTCATGTTTTCTTAAATCTCCTGGTCGAATGTGTCTTTGTTTCATTGATAATCAAAACCAGGTCATCTTTACAGGAGCTGGAATTTTAATACCTCATGGGCCTCTGTTGGTTTAGTTAAGGGTTAAAACACATTCTCATCTCAGTTCCGGTCTGGTCAAGTTTAATTGCTATGACTTACACACACCTCCGCACCTACATATAGAATTACTCACTAAGGTGTTAAGATGGACAATGGGTAACGTGAAAATTGTAAAACTGAAGTTCTGTGAAATTTATGACAGAAAAATGGTGCCCAATAGTCCTTTTCCTATATCTTTACTCTTCCATCTCTTTTTTGAAACTGCGCTACAAATGCTACTTTTCTAGGAAAGGTGATCGTTACAAAGGCCGGGTGCTTTCCTACTCATCCTGTCGTCAGTGATTGCATTGCTCATCGCTCGGTGTGGAGACTGAAATACATGTGGCACAGGAGCACGGGAAGGAGGCGGGACCCGCTCTCGGGGGCGGGTTCCCTTCGGGGAGGGCTCACTTGAAGGAGGCTCTCACCACCCTGCCCTTGATGGGCTGCGGTGGGCGCCAGTTTCCCACCAGGGGCACCGGGGGCTCGTTCTCCGCGCTGGACAGGAGGCTGCGCAGCTTGGCCATCTGCGGGGCAAAGGAAGGTGGTCAGCTCCACGTCAGACCAAGTGCTCACACAATGCGTGCGACAGAGTTAGAAACCCATGGCTTTTAAACAAGATCAGCAAACACAGCGCCTGCCTCCCATGCTCAGTCCAGAGCTGGTGGGTGACCAGTTCCTGGTGGAACAGGCCTTTTCCTCACATGGGAAAACTATTCCATGCAGGACCGCATGCCCCCGGTCAGAGCCTCCACCCCGGGTTCTGAAACAGTTCATTTCACGGAGGAGGGGACAATGTCGGTGCAAAGTGTACCAGTAAGTCGTCTTCACTGGGTACATGTAGGAATCCATTGTTCAAAGAGCACAAGGAACTAACAATCGCGCTGCATTTAAAATGCTCAGAACTGATTCTTTCTCTTTAGGGCAGGGGTCCTCAAACTACGGCCCGCGGGCCACATGCAAATACAAATATTGTATTTGTTCCCGTTTTGTTTTTTTACTTCAAAATAAGATATGTGCAGTGTGCATAGGAATTTGTTCATAGTTTTTTTTTAAACTATAGTCCGGCCCTCCACCGGTCTGAGGGACAGTGAACTGGCCCCCTGTTTAAAAAGTTTGAGGACCCCTGGTTTAGGGAGATGAATTTAGGAAATTCTTGTCAGTGATGCTATATTTCTATATGAAAATATTTTTAGTTTTTCTCCTTTAAGAAATTCCCTCTTTCAAAATATTTGTACCAGTTAAACCTCATCTGTTGATAAAAACGACCACGTGGACTTGAGTCCACGAGGCAGAGAAGCTGCTGCGTTAGGCACGGGAGACGCCGGGAAGCCCACGCTCCTCACACCCCGCCTCCCAGGGCTGCCCACTCCTCTCCCCGAGCCTGGCCTCCAGTCTCCTCCATCACTGCTGCTGCACGTTCCTCAGAAGCAGTAAGGAGGGCGTCAGGGGTGTTGGAGCAGACAGGCCGGAGGTGGAATCTCAGGTCCTGCACTTGGCTGTGTGATCACCAGCTAATCACTTGCCTTGTCTGAGCCTCAGCTTACTGTACGACACCTCACAGGTGACACTCCCTCCCCAGGGTCTGCACCTCCTCCCCAGGCCTGGAGTGAGCCTCCTGCCTCCTACCCTGCACTTGGCCGCCTCCCGTGAACAAAGTGCTGTTCATCGAAACCCATAAGTGTTTCCAGAGCATAAACTCAGTCACCGTCCAGCATCTTAGCCGCCTGGAAATGGTGTGCGTTATCCTGGTGCCCGAGGAAGTCACGCTGTGGGAGGTGGGACAGGCTGTCTGTGGCTGTACCTGCCGGGCCCACTGTGACCTCACGCTGTGGGAGGTGGGACAGCCTGTCTGTACCTGCCGGGCCCACTGTGACCTCACGCTGTGGGAGGTGGGACAGCCTGTCTGTACCTGCCGGGCCCACTGTGACCTCACGCTGTGGGAGGTGGGACAGCCTGTCTGTACCTGCCGGGCCCACTGTGACCTCACGCTGTGGGAGGTGGGACAGCCTGTCTGTACCTGCCGGGCCCACTGTGACCTCACGCTGTGGGAGGTGGGACAGCCTGTCTGTACCTGCCGGGCCCACTGTGACCTCACGCTGTGGGAGGTGGGACAGCCTGTCTGTACCTGCCGGGCCCACTGTGACCTCACGCTGTGGGAGGTGGGACAGCCTGTCTGTACCTGCCGGGCCCACTGTGACCTCACGCTGTGGGAGGTGGGACAGCCTGTCTGTACCTGCCGGGCCCACTGTGACCTCACGCTGTGGGAGGTGGGACAGCCTGTCTGTACCTGCCGGGCCCACTGTGACCTCACGCTGTGGGAGGTGGGACAGCCTGTCTGTACCTGCCGGGCCCACTGTGACCTCACGCTGTGGGAGGTGGGACAGCCTGTCTGTACCTGCCGGGCCCACTGTGACCTCACGCTGTGGGAGGTGGGACAGCCTGTCTGTACCTGCCGGGCCCACTGTGACCTCACGCTGTGGGAGGTGGGACAGCCTGTCTGTACCTGCCGGGCCCACTGTGACCTCACGCTGTGGGAGGTGGGACAGCCTGTCTGTACCTGCCGGGCCCACTGTGACCTCACGCTGTGGGAGGTGGGACAGCCTGTCTGTACCTGCCGGGCCCACTGTGACCTCACGCTGTGGGAGGTGGGACAGCCTGTCTGTACCTGCCGGGCCCACTGTGACCTCACGCTGTGGGAGGTGGGACAGCCTGTCTGTACCTGCCGGGCCCACTGTGACCTCACGCTGTGGGAGGTGGGACAGCCTGTCTGTACCTGCCGGGCCCACTGTGACCTCACGCTGTGGGAGGTGGGACAGCCTGTCTGTACCTGCCGGGCCCACTGTGACCTCACGCTGTGGGAGGTGGGACAGGCTGTCTGTGGCTGTACTTGCCGGGCCCACTGTGAACCCCTGGTGCAGGGCAGCTCTCTGAGCTTCCACGGGGCAGCTGTACACTTTCAATTTAGCATCACTTCCACGAAACCAGCCTGCGCTGCGTCCGTGCCGCGCTCACCTGGTCGGAGCTCACGGTGATGGGCTCCTTGAGCAGCAGCCACACGATGCACTCCTCGCAGGGCGGGGTGGTGAAGGAGCCGTGGTAGGTCCAGTAGTCACGGCAGGCGGGGAACAGGCAGGACGGATCAAAGTTGGTGAAGGGCACCTCCTTGCCCTGCAGGGGGGGCGGTGGGCAGGCGAGATGGGCAGGTGAGGGGCAGGTGCACTAAGTGTGCACACCGCTCTCCCCAGGCCCTCACCACTGTGTTTGTCAGAATAAATTCAAGGCCGTAGAGACAACGGAGCTTTTAAACAAAGCACGTGCCTTCAGAAATAAAGGGCAAAGGGCAAAGGGCAGCAGGCCGGTGAGGTCTGACTGGCTCGGGGACAGTCCTGTAATATGTTATTCCTTATCAGCTGTCAGTAGAGCTGTAGTTTTATCACTTCCCAACAAAAGGAGAAACCTCGCTAAACTGCAACAAAAACCATTCACATCAGTTAATCTTTGGGTCTTAATGGTAACAAGAGGCTCAGGTTCTGTTGAACACGGAATGCTTCCTGTGGTGGCAAAGCGCACCCGCACTCGATGGAGCAGCCGCAGACAGTCCCAGCGGGTTCATTAGGGGTTTCCTGTGAGGGTGACCATAGGTGGGTGCTACCAGCAGTCACATATGGCACCTCTGCAAATGTGTGTGTGCGTGTAGCGTGTGTGTAGGTGCTGTGCATTGTGTGTATGCATGTAACATGTGGGTGCACATGCTGTGTGCACGTGCTGTTTCACGTTGCACATGTGGTGTGTGTTCATGCGCTGTGTTACGTGTGCATACATGTTGCATTGTGTAAATGTGTATGTACATTTGTTGTGTGTGCATGACGTGTTTGTGTGAGCATGTGGTGTGTGTTATATATGTGTACACATATGGGGGGTGCCTGTGGTGTGTGTGCATATGGTGTATGCATGTGGTTGTGTGTATGTAGTGTGTGTGCATATGGTATAAGTGTGTGTGTGCATGTTATAAGTGTATATGGTGTGTGTATGTGGTGTGTGCATGTGTTGGGGGTGGCCATAGCTCATTCACTCATTGAGAAAGCAGTTATGTAACAAACTGACAGTGAGCATTACATAAGCTAATGCATGTGAAAGGGCTTTAAAGCTGTAAACATACGGGTAAAAGGTATTTATCTGCATATGTGCTTAGCATACTCATCAAACTTGGCAACAGAATTCAGGTGAAAGAAATACACTTGAAATGTAGAAAGAGAAAGCTGACAGATCTCGTTCTCTGTTCTCGGAGGGAAAAGGAGGATTTTTTACCTTTGTCTTCACTTTGTCCAGCGCATCGAGAATCAGCTGGAACTCGCCTTTCTCACGTCCTATCTGTAAGAAAATAGAAAACCAATAATTACACTTTTCCCTTCTCCATAATGTAGGACTGTCTTAAAAACCAGTTTTGACCCATCCATCTGCAACCAGTACTCATAACTCTGCCAGGAATTCTTACACTGAGCAAACCATAAATTTCTTTCTCCCCCACAAATTTCAGAGCTTGCATTTTCTGAACTAAACTTGGACTCCAGGCCTCTGAAGGACAGAACCACAAAATTGCATGTTGATCTGCTTCTGTGTCCTCGACCTTCTTTGCAAAGTCGTTCCATGTTTTTCTTTTTTTAAGATAGAATTAGAACCAGAATGGACTCGATGTACCTAAAACTAGACTCCCATCCGTCTTTCCACTCAGACCCACCCCCTTCCTGTGGAGCTGTGTCCGAGCGGGGACATGACCAGTGAAGGAAGAACATAAGATGAATCAGGTCATTCAGAAAGAAAGAAGGCAGGTGTCCACTCCTGGCTTAGAGTCTAGATTATGTTACCACTAAAGTCTTGTGTTAACGACACTAAGGCCTCTTTAAACCGAGGCTGGCTCAACAACACACACATTCCCCGTGCTGTCTCCGCTGAGACCTTGAGCATGTGGCCTGCCTGAGCCTGGGGGATGTGTGGCCGGGCCCAGCATCACAGCGTCCCCAACATCGGCTTTGCTGGTGTGCAGGCCGTGGGATGAGTTGTGGGAAGGGGTAATGGGCCATGCTGCCCACCCGCCCTCCGCACCACACTCATCTACAGAACCACATCTTGAGGAATATGGCAAAAGGTACACTTTTAAGGCAAAGCAGACATTTTGAGCTGGTCTTAGCAGAAATACCTGCATTAGTTGAATGAATACTGAAATTCGTTCTGCTCCCCGTTAAGCAAAAGGGGAGAGTAAATGGTGCCACCCTGAGCGTGGGTAAGGAAGTCAGCTTGGAAATAAGGCACGTGGCCGTGCGGTTCCTCACCTTCAGGAAGATGCCCACCACGGCGGTGCCATCCGGCTGCTTCAGAGCTTCCCCGAAGGTGTTGTATTTCGGGTTCCAGTGAACCAGATGCAGCTGGAAGCAGAGAGGCTGTGAGCTCATCCCCAGCGCCAGGGAACCGTGTCACATACCCGCAGGACACCCCGCGGCTCCCGGCCTGAGGCCGCTGAGAGCGCAGAGAAGCTGGTGGGATTCTAACAGTAACAGCCACCATTTGGGTGACATGTCGAATGTTCAAATGTGCATAAAAGGAGGATAAACAGATTTAGGACTTTGTGATAAACAATGAATAAAAATTGAGCTGTGAAGTCAGAGATTTGCTCCCTCCTCTGACTGAGACAGCTCAGTCTGCTAGCACCTGCAGCCACAGGGAACTGGGAAGCAGGGGGGGCAAGCAGGGATGTGAACGTCTTCCATCAGCCTCCTGTTCGCAGTCGGGTACCTCATCCTTACTTAGAACAGAGGCACCAGGTAAATTAGTCCAAGGCCCATATTGAGCCACGTAGAATGGCAAGGGAACACAATATTCCTAGCCGTTCACACAATATCAAACGTGAGAGGTGCCCCCATGCACAGAGGTCAGGCTGCAAGCCCCTGTATTTGTGAGGCGCACACTTAACTGGGGGGAGATGTCTAGAGGCATTGGCAGTAGGAGTGTCTCGCGCCCGGGCTCAGGGAGGCTGTGGGTGGATGGCCACGCGAGGGCCTGTGGGTCTCCCAGAGTTAGTTCACCCAACAGCCAGCTGCCTGAGAGTGTCCCCGGCGCCCTCGCTTCCTGCGCTGCCCCAGCTGCCGGGAGGGGGAAGGCGGGAAGATGCTCGCCTCTGGGCACCAGGCACCTTCGCCTCCAACACTCTTGTCTTCATGGAGAGAACGTGCAGGAGGCTTGTCTTATTCCTTGTAATTCGGGGCCTTGATCTGAGCTTTTTAAAAATGGACTCACTGAGACAAAGAGTAGTATTTGCTCATATTAAGCGTTGTGTGTGTGAATGTATGTGCATATGCAATCACACACGTATGCACAGCCTTCACGAGGAGACAGGGACTGGGTGCTGGCAGAACTCCTGAATGCTGTTCTTAAAGCACCTAAAGGGCTCTTTCCACAGGGGCAGCTCAGGGCGCAGGACAAGCTGCGGACGCGCAGCCGGTCTGAGGCAGAGCCCTCAAGCCTCCTGGGGGACTTCTGACAGCCTGCTGTGCGTTGGTTTCCCCACCTGTCCCCTGCCGCGTGGGGCTGCCAGAGGGCTCAGCAGTGCTCACCTGTAAGCATCCCATTGGCCAGGACTTCCTTCTATTCAGCTGCTGTCCAAGTTCTTAAAGTCACCTTGGAACTCTTCCCTCGGGGCGCCCACCCCGCCCCTTAACTGTTAGCCGCTAGCCCAGAAGGTTGGCTGCCTCAGCTTAGGCGAAAGGACTGCAGCTCTTTGCAAAGCTACAGGCTGGGCACAGAGCCGTGGCACGGCTTGGCTGTTTCCCGGGGTGGCGGCTCCTACCTCGGCGGCGTACTGCACCCCGTCCACGGTGTGCTCGGAGCCGTGGTCTGAGAGGGCCTCCCCTCAGCACTGCGAGGAGAAGCTGGTCAGTGGGGAGCTGGCCCCTCCGAGCCCCACCGGACGCTGCCACAGGGGCCCCCTCTTCCAAAAGAGAGTCTTGGCATCTATCAAAGCCAACGCTGTTTCCATCCTGTCTTGTTTGTTTGCTCGTTTTATTATTTTTTTAAATGTCAATTTAACATTTATGAGCATAAAAGCAAAGCAACAGGGTGAGCCCTGGGGTTGTAGACAAGCAGAGTGTGGGTGGGCGTGTGGAGCAGTGGGAAGTGACTGCCGGCTGAGAGCCAGACAGATACCTGGCCCTCCCCCCTGGCCCTGTG